CTTGGTATGCACGTATTTCATGTTAGCTTAGCTTCTTAGCCTGAGCTAGCTCTGTTTACTTCCATTTCGGAGGCAGCAGGTCCCGCCTCGGCTCCGCCTCTTTGCCCTTATTTGGAGCAGGCGGGATTAAACTCCGACGTCGCTGTCAAGCCGTTAGTGGCCGACTCCGCCTACTAAGGGCTTCTCTGCAACTCTGCAGAATCCTATGGGTGACGTCACGGACACTATGTCCATTTATATATACAGTCTATGATTCAAACGCATGGATTAACATCGATTTAATACATTAATGTAGCCTTTGTTTCTGCTAAAAGAGGTGTCGACTAGCTGGGGCAACAGGAAAATCGGCGAAATCGAGTGTGACTATTAAAAAATAAATCATTATTATATTAATATTGACAATAACAACCGATCGTCGTGGTACAGAATTTGCTTGGCATTTCCGGATATATCTCCACTGGTTAGGACATGTTAACAATACCGTGTAACTGTCACGTTTGAAGGGACGAAATTGTGACATTTTCACGTCTCTCAGCATGGTAAATCGTAACATGTTGACGTCTTGTCGTGATACCGGGTTGCATTTATGAGTCCTCAGCGCTCTGCCACACCCTTTGCTGAACCAGGAAGTAACCTCCCCTAATAGCCACGGTAACTCAAGAGACAAAGAAAGTAATTAATACAAACAATTTTGTCGGTTAATTTATGTAATCAAAATGTCTTACACGTGTAAGGTTTGTAAGTTCAGTACAGGGTCCATTCCTGCATGCATTTGGTTGTATTCAAAGTGTTTTAAAGTATTGTGTATTATCTAAGAATAGTGATAATGTATTTGCCAAACAGTGCCTTTTGTTGTGTCTCGTCAAATGTGTTTGTTGTGTTTATGTATTATGTCTGTCATTTCATGTTTAGTCAGGTTTTCATGTTTATTCACGTCATGTCAGGTCTGTCTATTTATGTCATTCATCTCTAGTTAAGTCCCCGTATTTCATGTTGTGTCTCGTTTTCCATTTCCTGTTTCATTTTCTACTTACCTCTTGTCTCTCATTTCAGGCCCTGTTACTTCCTCCCTTTTTGTGTTTTCCCGCCATCGTCAGCGTCTGCCCCGCCCCAGATTGTTTCCATCTGTTCCCACTCACCTCATGTTTAAATAGTCCTGTCTTCCCCTGTCCTGTGTCAGTTTGTGTTTGTTCCCACGTGTGGTCGTGCCAGGCCTCAGCAAAGACAGGATCGTTTCCAGTCTTGTTAGGTTTAGTTGTTTTGTTAGTTTAAGTTTACCTTAAGTTCTCTTTTTGTTATGCTTAGTTTTTTCCTCCTTGTGAGCGTTTTTTTTGTTATTCCAGTGCTTACTCTGTTAAGAGGGATTTTCTCTTCAATGACATTAAAAAGACAATTTTTGTTACATTCAAGACTGTGTCTCTGGGTCGTGCATTTGGGTTCTCCAGTTTGTGTCGAGGTCGTGACACCTTTTCAACTACAGCACGTCTCTAAAATGGCTTGGCAGAAGAAATGGCTTCATATTTTTTGTGTTGATTTGTTATCGCCACTGTTTTAAAAATGCAATCTCCATGTTTTTGGATATTAATATCCATTGTTTTATGGATGAAAATATTTATCATTTAGCACAAGAAAATACATGGTCTTGATACCGTTCAACAATTAAGAATACATTGTTAAAATGTATTTTTTGCTGTCTCCCTGCAGTTATTGGGGAGCTTTAAAATTGTGTCAAGAATTTCTGGTGTAAATTACCATTAGCATTAAAGTTTATATTTTACCGTTGAAACACTATTACCGTAAACAAAAATACAGTACTTTTTAAATGGCAGTGTTTTATAGTTAAAATACTATTACCTTAAACAAAAATACAATGCTTGGAAATTACTGTGTTTTATTTTACAGCTATAACACTACTGCTGTAACAAATAAAGTAATTAAATATTACTGTGTTTCATTTTACAGTTCAAACACTATTACGTAAACACAAATACAGTACTTGGAAGTTACTGTTTTTCAGTTTACAGTTATAATACTACTGTAATACCAAATAAAGTAAATGCTATTTACTGTGTTTCATTTTACAGTTAAAACACTATTACCGTAAACACAAATACAGTACTTGGAAGTTACTGTGTTTCATTTTACACTGTTACTGTAAATAAAAACTTGTAAACACTGTGATTACCTTTAAGGTATTTAACTGGCAGCAATTGACAAGTTACTTACTGTAATTTGTTTTACAGTATTCAACTGGCAACAATTGACAAGTTACTTACTGTAATTTATTTTACAGTAAGTAACTTGTCAATTGCTGCCACTTAAATACTGTGAATTTCACGGTACGTTTCTTACAGTGTAAAGGAATAGAATAGAAGGCTCAATAGAGCTGTGGCTCTCTGTCAGCCTGGCTACAGTGCTGAAAAGAAATCTTAAAATCTTGCATTATTATCAAGGAGGAGTTGCAAACCTCCTTGAAGTAGTGTTCTAGTGGTAAGTGAAGGACGTCTGGGGGATTAGGATTGCTATTGGCCATTAAAGTAGTTTACATGTCCTTGAATGAGTCACATGTATCCTTAAAAGGGATCACAGATTTCCGGCAACATAAGGAACCAGTTAGAAGTGTATTGTTTTTAAAACATGATTGAACTGAGTGTATTGTGATGATAAATGCACTGGGAGAATGTACATAATTATCGTGATTATTCTCCTCACACACAATCTGTCTAATCTTTAGTTTCCTTTGGACCTTTTAAGGACTTTAGTGCAACAGTAAGAAAGTTTGGAAACAAAACCATCTACAATTTTGTTATAAGTGTGTTTCAGGATCCAATAGGGCTGAACAATAAAATAAATAGAAGCTTGACATTTATGCTGTTATATGATCATTTGCAGTTTTTTTAGCAATGTTTACAATACATTTTACTCTGAGATGAAAAAACAATAAGAAGTTGTCTCGCATTACTTAGGATGATTAAACTGAAATTGTTGTTTGTTTTCCATCATGCTTGGAAGTGAAACTGGAATACATGAGCCTGAGATGTTAGTAAAACATGTTTTCAATTATTTTGAAATTGAGACTGACAGTTTATTCTTAACCCTGGAAACAGTAATTAGGGAAACAACCTTAACAACATGAAATAGTTGCAAGCTCTCATTAATCAGTTGATGCTCATCGCAGAAGGACTTCTCATCCAACAGTTTTCTGAAAACTTTAAGGACAGTTTATCCATGTTGGTTTAAAAGCTGCGATTGAAACTTCATTATTATGACTTTGGAAATTGAAACAGTTTTTTTAATGAGTCATACATGTAAAATTAGTCAGAATTCACATTAAACTGATATATAAAATGCAATAAATGAACAAAATGGACAGCTCTTCATTCCTGTTTATGATGTGAAGTCCACTGGAGGCCATTCAAAGTCTCTGTGTCATGTCTCGGAAACTTATCATGAAAGTTTATTCTTTATATTAGTTTTGTCATGTCCCTTTGTTCTGTGCCCTCTGTCTTATTGTGAAAAGTAATTTCCCCTCATGATCACGATTATTGCATCTAGCTTTTCCTCGGAAGAGTGATTTTGTGTTTCTTGTTTTTGTTACTGTGTTAATTCCAGTAAAGTCTTTATTTTTGAATACCACCCGAGTCTGAGTCTGAGTTGTGCATTTGAGTTCATGCCTCAGAGTTCACCCCTTGACAGTGCTATTGACTTGATTGCTGGGGATTCCATTCCTAAAGGTCGATTATATGCCATTTCAGGACCTGAGAAAGAGGCCATGAAGGACTATATTGATGCCTCCCTCAAAGCAGGGCTTATTCGCCCTTGCTCATCCCCAGCAGGTGCAACGGGTTTTTTTTGGCAAAAAGGATGGGTCTCTTAGGCCCTGTATTGACGACTCACCTCTCAATGACATTACTGTTAAAAACCGGTACCCCCTCCCTCTCATCTCGTCCGCTTTCGAGAAGCTTCAGGATGCCAAGGTTTTCACCAAGTTAGACCTGCGTAATGCCTATCATTTGGTCAGGATCAGGGAGGGCGATGAATGGAAGACAGGGTTTAACACACCTTCAGGCCACTATGAATACCTAATCATGCCGTTTGGACTGTCAAACGCTCCTGCAGTTTTCCAGGCTTTGATTAACGATGTGCTTGACTGGCATCGTGATTACTCGACGTCTTGAGGACGTCTTTGCACTGTGTTTGACCCCGGGGCTAGCCTCTGGTTTAATAAGGAATCCTTTGGTACGTCCGCTTTGTGTATAATACGTAGTAAGGAACCGACTCCCGTAAAACCCGTCCTCGTTATTATTTACACAGTAAAACCTTTTCGCCGAGGTGGTGACACTCTTGACACCACAAATGGAGATCTCTTACCTTCCGAGTACTGAGCTTCCAGGCACCCTTTAGAGGCTGGTCCTAGACAACCCTTATCCTATCACCAACATTATTAGGGTAGGCGCGGGACTTCTCCAAGAACAACGCTCGCGTCTGTCCGTGCGGAGGTGTATGAGGAAGTGGAGGAAGAGGTACATACAGGTGGTCTTTGCAACGAAATACTCTTGGTACCAAAGAAAACTGAGGCCTACTGTCCACTCGCTCGCTTCACAACTCTGGGTCACCTAGTGGACAACCAGAGAGCCCGAAAGGGCTTGTTATCGGCCAATCCGCCCGTTGGGGACCACGTCCTATCGGGGTGGCACATCGAGCATAGTGGAGGTAAGAGATTGAACGGTTCAGTCGGGAGGTGATGGTGTGCGCAAGTTACTTTACTACCCAAGGCCGAGGAACTGACGTCCGTGTACCAGTTTGTCTACCCTGTGTCGCAGGTCGCGAACTGTTAAGACTCTGGGGACGGACATTCTTTCTTGTTTTAATTTAGCCAATTTTTTTGTTCCAGTGGATCGAACCGCCCTCAAGTGTCAGAAACGAAGAACTATATGAGGCGTTCCCTCCAAAGACACTAGCCGTTTGTGTTCCTCACTCGAGCCGAGGAGGTAGGTTACAGAGGCGAGAGGTTCGTCGAAGTGCCGTAGTCAAAGGTGCAGTCCAAACCGGGTGTAGCATTAAGGAAAGGCGGCTGAGCGTCGCGCACTAGACAACAGCGACCTCCTGGCGAGGGTGGAGGAGCAGAGGGACGGATTTCGGCTCTCTTTCGGAGGAGTCGGACTCCTCTGGTGTTTTCCGTGGACTCCCCTGCACCTCTGTACTTCCTCCCCGACGTTATCGTGACTTCGAGGAGTGTTACGGACATTTTTACTCGTTTCGGATTTTTGACGACGTGAAAAATGCTCTCAGTCCCATCACGGTTGACAATGGACGCGATTGGAAGCGACCCAGGTAGAATTGGACTGACCCCTCTACTACTTCGGGTTTTTTCACTGACAGAGCCGTACTTTGAGCGTGAAAAGCCGAACTGTTTGTTGTATAAAACCTCGTCAAAAACACATCTTGGACCGCCTGTACAGCAAACACCCCACAGTTCCAGTCCCCTCATCTAGTCCTACAGCAGGTCTATCTCTGTTTTGTTTGCCAAGTCTT